CAGCAAACCTTTTACCGGACCCGTGGCGCGCCCGACTCCTTAATTTTGTTCTCCAAGTAAAGAAGCGTCGGGGTAGAGAAGGGGGTCTGTTATTGGGCAAATCCACAGACACATATACACACGTGTGTGTGTATGTGTGTGTATGTGTGTGCACGCGCGCGCGCGTCTGCAATGAACGGGTACAAACTTCCTCAAACGCGCGACTATATGAGCGTGAAAAATAGGTATAGGTATACTTTATAAGTGCCGAACTTCGCTATTAGCTAACCCTTTTCGGATGATTTCGCAAAACTTTCGAATATTGGTTTTGACGAAATTGTTCATACTTGGCAGAAGTTTTCGCGACAGCGTGAACTAAACTTCTAAGGCATAAAAATAGATATTGTGAATCGTAAATTGGAACGTATCCACTTAATGCTATCTTTCGTAATGTAAAGAGAAGCACAGCAATTCCATTCGCTTTATTAAAAGAAATTTTGTTCAAATTAAATGCTACACGGAAAGAATAGTTTTGCTGGATCCAGATCTGAAAATAATTTTTGTTCAATAATCAAAATAATATTATGAGAAAGTCCAATTAATTGCTAGAATATCAAAACATTTTATAGCATGCCTAACATTCTTAACTTTCCAACAAATTATTTTGATTATTGAACAAAAATTATTTTCAAATCTATATTTAGTAAAATTTTTAGACCTTTCAACAAAATCGTTCTTTCCGTGTACACATGATTTTTTTTTACAGGAAAATCAGAGTTTATGCTATACTTTTTTAAGGCATAAAATCAGGTTTTAATATTACATACGTACGCAAACTGTTTTTCTGCTTCTCTTCTTTACATTATTATTATTGGGGGAACGATAGATTAATATGTTGCAGAAGATAAAAGTCCATCTCATTCCTGCGTGCTATATTTGTATACTCTTCATTCTCTCTTCCCCAGGAATAAAAAGTCTTTTATTTCTTCGTCTGTATGTAGTTAAGAGCTCAGTGGCTTCCGTTGCCCCAACTTTTTGTTCGCAGACAGAAGTGCATCTAAGCTTCATTAAACACAGGAAAGTAAATGCACGCGTATTCCCGCAAACTTTTTGCAAATATTTTCTAACGAAAAAGAGAAAGAAATGATATATCGCAATAATCCAACGTGTAAAGTTTTGGAGCGAGCACGGATTTCACTTTATTCATTTTACTCTCATTCACGAAAATTAATGTTTGGTGGATCGTGTAGGGAGTTTGTAGAGCGTACTTTGGCTTCCACGGGAATCAACGCTGAGCTTTAGTGCAAAAATTTGCATTTTAATATCTTCATACCAACATTGAGAAGTTCTTCTCGTACTTCGCGAGACGTTTTGAAATGCAAGATCTTTGCAATAACAGAGAGGGAGGATTCTCGGTAAATGCGCTGACGCTTAAATAAACTTAATATAGCATAATAAAACATGATAAGATTACGACGGAATTAAAAATATATGCGGTGATCGTTTAAACTGTGAATTTCGATACCTTAAAAACTATTATAACGTTTAATGCTGTAAAAAAATTACGCAATTTCACACTTCCGATTAGAAAGTTACAAGTATAACTTCGGAGTCTTTGTTGCGAGACACATTCTTTATAAAAATAGCTATCTCATAATGTACGCGCAGTAAAGTTTATCGTCCACGATTAAAATCCCTGCGGACGATAAAGTTCCACTGTATTCCGGCAGCACGGGAATTTTCTTCGAGTCGCGAACAAATTGTGATTCCGCGTTCATGAAACCCTCGAAGGCTCGCTCGCGCCTCATGGAACTTTATAAGTCCCATCTCACGGTTCTCGCTGGCATCTGCGTGGAAATTTACGCGCGGTTTCGCCATAACGTGGCTATCGACTTCACCCCGTCCACGGGAATAAACTTGCCTTAATGGCATACTGAATCGGTTTAACGTCTCGATAGATGCCGAAAAGGATTTCGCCCTCACCGGGGGAAACGGCCGCCGACGCTTTCGTCTAATGCTTTCCAAAATTTGCATCCTAATCTTTGTAAACCCCGCAGGGATTACCGCCGCCGTCTTCTTTCATCGTCTCGAGGATTTGCTTAACCTCGGCTTTCTTTGAGAGGCGACTCTCGTCCCACCACGATCGATATAACATTTTACAGAATCTCCCCTAAAGTGCACGCCTTGTAACACGGAAAAATATATTAGAAATATGCAGAGTATATATAAATTAGCGTTTAAAGTATATGTCTAGATTTAATTTTTAAGTGCTTTATATTACGAGTATATATTGATATTTATTATAATAAATCGTACACCTTCGTAACAGCGTCTGATCAAAATTAATAATGCCGACGTAGGTAGCGGCGCGCATCATTAATGATATCTGACCACAAAAGTTCACCGAATGAATCGTATACCACCGAATGGCGGGCCAAACGACGTCTGATAAGTTGGATGAAATTCAATATAAGTTCGAGCGTCAATTAATCAGAAAATTACCGCAAATACCGGCGATATTATCGGCACCTAGAAACGTCGCGCAAGTTTCGGAACGCATCGCAGAGGGCTAGTCCGCCGGATTGGCCGCTAATCAAATACAGAATGGGGGCGAGGGGACGAAGGTAGAAGATTTATTGTAAGTAAATACAATTAGGAGTTACGAGTGCCTTCGAGTAACCTTTGGCCCCAGCTGACGCTAACCCAACTACAGCGAACCTGACCTAACTAAATAATCGAATTAGAGGTGCCTTCTACCGCGATGGCGCCCCCTCCCCCCGCCTCCCTCCCCTTCCGCGCTACGAAGTCCATTTCTCGTCTTCTCCTCATCCGCTTCTAACTTACATTCGACACGATCCCCGGACCGTATTCGCGGAATTGGTCCTGAGACAGTAAATTGACTGTGGCTTGGCAACGGACACGATTTCTCAGGTGTTGCAACGGTTGTTCGCCGACATGATCTCCGTCGCATTCAGAACGGAGCCTGAATAGGAAATGATAGGTGTTGATAAATGAGATCTTTAATATCGGCGAGATATTGTAAACTGTTAAATTTGTTTATCGCAAATTTATCTAAATATGCATAGGCAAAAAAGTGGGTACATAGGAGAATACATGTAAAAAAATTTTTTTTTAATCAAAATTTGTTTTCTATTTTCTATTTGATGATTAAGTTCACGGAAAGAACGATTTTGTTGAAAGACCTAAAAATTTTGCTAAAAACAGATCTGAAAATAATTTTTTATTGAATCATCAAAATAATTTGTTGGAATGTTAAAACTGATAAGTTTAATGTAAAACGTCTTGATATTCTAGCAATCATTTTGACTTTCGCACAAAATAATTTTGACTATTGAACAAAAATTATTTTTAGATCTGGATTCAGCAAAATTGTTCTTTCGGCGTTGGCATATAATTTTGTGTCGATTAAATTTTCAAAATCTGTAAGCTAAATTTTCTATTTTCCGTGAAGCAATAAAAGTACATGGAAATTCAAACTGGTTGTTAGAATATCAAAACATTTCACAGCAATGTTTATCTTTTTTTAAAAAAATTTCTAACAAAATTATTTTAACGATCCAACAAAATTATTTTCAAATCCGCATTCAGCCAAATTTTGGGATTTTTCAGCGAAATCATTCTTTCCGTGCAGAAACATCGCTCTTCCATAATCCTTCTCGGGCGAGGATAGGCGTCGCTTTGCCTGCGGACAGATTCGTATGCGCGGCGTTTCTCACAAAGTGCGAAGTTCCTTCGCGACGAAGTTGGGATATCGATACCCAACGATTCGACGAAACACTATGCCCTGCCTGCTTTCTAAGCAGCTTTCGAGCGCGACAAACGATCCCCCTCGATTCCCGATCGACGTCTGATCAATCTCGACGAAACATCGTGCCTTCTTTGGAGTGCGCGACTCCACGCGTTGAAAATGTATACAACTTCTCTTTACGTTTCAGAAAGTTTTCGGGCTCGCAGCGCGGTTCGATAACGAAACTTTCGCTTGTCCGAGTTTCTACAACAAGTTCGCATTTTGTGCAACGATATATCGACACGCATTTCAAATATAGTCTAATTCTGAGTCCATGTGGTTCTTGTTCACGTTTCTCATAGAGATTAATTTGAGATGACAATAAAATTTTCTGTGCAAGCAAGATTAATTAAATAGGGAGTCTGTAAGATTTTTTTAGAAAGAAACTGAAGATAAAAGATAATTGGTAAATAATAATAAAATAATTATTAACTGGAAATGATAGATTTCTTGACGATCATAATAGCCCGTCAAAATATTAAGTAAAATAAAAAATGGTGATAATAAATATTAATTATAAATATTAATAAATATTAATTATTATCATTTATTATTTTACTTGATATTTTGACGGGCTATTACGATCCGTCGAAAAATCTATCATTTCCAGATTGCGGACAACGCAAGCAGATAGGCGGTCATTGATTTATAATGGCTGGCAAATGGCTACGTCACCGCGCGCATTCATCGCGAATTGTTCGTTTTTTTTACGTCCGCCGAATTTCTTGAAGCCCCCGCTTGAAAGGGCCCTTTTTATTGGCGGGCTATCGGCGAAACCGCGCCACGTCCGATAAGGGCGGCCCGTCAATAAAAGCGCATCGGTGATTTACGAGCCGTGCGCCGGAATGATGACAAAAACAACGCCGCAATAAATTGCAGCGAGTACATCGGCGGCCGCCCGCCGCGGGGTTATTTGCTGTATATCACTTTGAAAGAATCCGTAAATTTGCCTGCCGCGCGCGCCAAGATCCAGTCGTAAATACCGTGATCGTGGCCGTAGGTCGGCGCGTCGTACAGCGAGGCGGACGCGGCCGGGTCGCTACTCGCGCGACGTACGTACACATATAGAGGTAAACCATCCCCCCCCCTCCACCCCCCCGTAGTAATTTATCACACGCTAACGTTTTCTTTTATTGTCGCAACGCATAAAAGCCGGCGCGCATACGAAGCAGCCAGCGTTACACGCTATAATGCGAAAACGCGCGTGTTTCAGGATAAACGAGAACACAACGCGGTCCCAGTTCCTGGCCTACTTCAGCTTCTCGTCCAAAGCGAGCACGTCCGTCGGCTGGCCGGTGAGGGGCGGACATCCGGTTAACAATACGGGTAAGATGTTTAGCTCGCTTTTGTGATGAAAAATGAAATTATGTTACGTTCTAACGCTCAGCTTCCGGGACGTATACGTATACCTACATTTTCCATTTGTGAATTTCGCAGAGCGTATTACTCAACGTTGACAATTTCAGCTGACTGAATCTCCATTTTCTGATGGGCGATTCCGGGAGAAACTGATTTCTCTGCAGAATTATTTGTATCTCTAGAATTGTCCAAGCTGAACAAGTGACAATATACGCGACTATATTCTAAACTGTTTCGAATTCAACAGTGATCGGCGAAAACACGGAAAGAATTACGATTTTGTTGAAAGATCAAAAAATTTTGCTAAATATAGATCTGAAAATAATTTTTTGTTGAATCATCAAAATAATTTATTGGAATGTTAAAACTGATAAGCATTGCTGTAAAACGTTTTGATATTCTAGCAATTATTTTGACTCTTGCACCAAATTATTTTGATTATTGAACAAAAATTATTTTCAGATCTGGACTCAAAATTGTTCTTTCCGTGAAAGTTAACGTTTTTTCTTTTTGTTGCATTTTTTTTTTTATATCGACGTTCGATATATCGACGACGAAATCGTTCCGGATCTCGTGTTATCGCGATAACCGATAACGTGCCTAAAGTCACAAGGCAATCACGAAAGCGGTGATCTGTTGAACAAGTGAGATTATAGTGCTACGTAAACTTGGTCGCCTGGCTGCGCTCGCTCCGCACGTCCTGTGTTTCGGACCGCTCCTATCATAGACTATTGCTCAAACTACACCGCCAACAACCTAGTTCAGCTATCGGCTCCCCCATGACGGTAACTTCATCTTCCTGTAAATTACACCCCCGTGGTGTGGTTTATCACGCGGAATGTTCAACTGCGCGGGCAATCTACGGTATAGATAGCGTCCTTCTTAACACCCTCGACGACAAATTTACGCCGGCCCGACAAGAGTAGAGTTTTCTGTTTCGCCGGCGTTTACGTGAGCACGCCAACTGCCTGCGTATATATACTCGCGCGCGTTCGCCATCTTTTCCACGAGGGAATGAAGGGCGAAGGGCCGTTTTCGGAGATTCTCGGAGTAAATAAAACCGTCGCCCGCAATATTTTTGCGAATCAAACAGCAGCGTATACGGGTATATATATATACGTATATTCTCTCGTGAATTGGGGGGAGGGGAGAAGCAATTTTATTCGAATCTTTCGCGAAAGCCGCGTGGTGAACGGAAACAAACTATTAACTAACTCGCTAAAGCGTAAACCCCGTAGTATGTTCGCAAATTATCGATGCGCGTTTTGCATGTAAAATCAAGTTATACGCGTTAACCTTGTTGCCATATTCGATTAAAGCATACGCTGGGCGAACGTTCGTTCAGGGCGTTCAGGCCTTCCTGGTCTCGTGTCTCCTGTAAAATTCACAAAAATCGTAAAATTCGTAAAAATCAGGACCGCGGCGATGAAAAAAAGGCGAAAAACGGCGGAGGAAGGAGAGGAGCCAGTTTGTAACGTCAGGTTTTTCCACGTGTGTTACGTATTCTTCTCTTGCGACGAGAAATCCGGATGGAACGTACGGGGCGTATATAGCTTTCGAGCGTTTGACGATTTTGAAAATTCTCGGGCATCGGACAGAGGTGGAAAACGTTAATGGCGAACGCTGCAGGACTCGGAGGAGTAATCAAACCGTGCGAATTTATACTTGCGCGAGTAGTACGGGAAGATAATTTTTTCCCTCTATAGTTAGTGTGAAAATTATACGAGCTTAAGTGCGGACCGATCCGCGCTTTAAGCGAAGGATGGGAAACGGCGGGCCGCGTTCGGCTCTCCGAAGCCATTTAGCCGTCGAAAGCGTTAGTAATCGAAAGCGTTAACGGGCTAAATCTCGAATATCGATTCTCCCTGGGTATGCGATCTCTATCTTCAAATGCGACGGGCTTCTAATCTCCGAGCGTAATCGACGCTTCTCTGTACAGATCTAGCCTGGGTTATCTTTGAGACGTGAGAATTTTTTTTAAGATAGTCGAATTGGAATATTGTTGTGTTACTCGTATTACAATTTTCGTGGCAAGAGAAAAAAAATATGCCGTGAGCAGTTTAGAGATCAAATTAAATTTATCATGTTTTTGTACTGTGACAAATTTCTTCTCGTGGCGCGCCCAATTATGAATACTAATCTCGCGAATTTTTTTTATTTACAATCGATCGACGAGTATTTGATCTCGTATCGTTTTAATAGCTGTGCTGTGGAAGTTGGAGATACGCCGTAGGTAGCGAGAAAATTGAAAAGCCCTTTTAAAAAAATTGCGCGACGCTCTTATGAGAAAAGTTTCGTGTATATGTGCCTTTGGACTTTCGCGTCTAGTAATATTGTGTAATGACGTACCGGAGTTCTTTGACTTACCGTCACCCCGCGAGAAACATACGCCGTATTCGCGAACAACTGGTGCACCGAGACCCCTCGCTAGGAAATAAAATAAAATAAAATAAAATTAAAAAATAACGCATGAACGTTTTCATCATTTTATTTCTTATTACATCTGTATTTAGAAGAAAAAGTGCTTTCTCTGCAGTTTTCAAACTGAATTTTATATAACGTTCATGTTACGCACATATATATTAAGTTATATACGGTCACCTTTAATTCTTGATGGTGTTTTCAGTAGCCTTAAATGCAAAGAAAAAAGACAGTCTTACATACACAAAAATATTCTCACAGCGTACATTTTTATTAACATATTTTTCGACCGGATTTAAGTTCGACAATTCACAATTGGCGATACGTATTACAAAGCATCTTTTGAAGAAATCACAATAAGTGTATCGCGCTTTCGAGCGATCGTACGACAAATTTAAGTCGTGTAAGTCGGAAACGGATTGTAATCAGCAGTTTTTTTTTTTCGTCGTCGCGTGGCTAAAAAGTTGTGTGTCAAGAGCGGCAGAAGAGCGGCGAGAGATCGAAGGATGTAGACAAATCCACGCGCGGAAGATAAAAGCGATTTCGATAAGATCTTTTCTCCATACGGCGTGCTGTAACGAGTGCGACAACGATTCTCGATTATCCCGGGGGGGGAGACCGCGCCGGGCGATCCATATGCACAGGACGTACGACCAGGGAGACGTGACTGTCACTCCGCCATCCGGATGAGAGAGGTCTTTTTTGACGTCGGCCCACGTCCTATTGGGAAACGTGCGAGAGGCGGCGAACGTAGGACGAAGAGCATCGAGAAAAGGTGTCCTCGCGCGAGAGGGAACGAAAGGCAACGTGCAGATAGGAGAGAGAGAGAGAGAGAGAGAGGAAGGCAACATCAGGCGGAGGCGCCGCCCGATTGACAAACAGATCAATCGTGGATGGAAAGACGATCCGCTGCCTTACAGCTCGACCTGGCTCCAGTTCTCTCCCTCTCTCTCTCTCTCTCTCTCTCTTTCTCTCTCTCTTCTCCCCTCCTTTCTCTCCGCTTCTCTTTCTCCTTCGGTCTCTCCACATGTACATTTACGCAACCCGCGCGCTCGCTCGCTAGACGAGGGAAGAGAGTCGGGCCCTTCCGTTCTCGAATTTATCTCCCGCTCAGAAGAACTGGCCGACGTCTTCCTGGGTGATTTATAAGAAGAGGAAGCTATTGTACAACGGAGAAAGGCCGCTGTCCAAAGAGAATATTATTTTCAGAATGCGCCGATGTGTGTGTCTTTTATCCGCCCGGGCGTAAATCGCGCAAGAAGAAACAACGTTTACGTACATAAGATGCCTTGACTCTGTCTTTAATCTAACCGAATTTGATTCATGATCCGCTTTTATATGTTTGCCTGGCAGTCGTTTCAAACTGATTGTGCGCATTTATTTATTATACGCGCGAAGTATATTTAAAATGTAAGAAGACATTAAACTGGATGTATATAGGCATGTGAAGCAACCCAGTTAAGAAATGCCAACAGATCGGTAGGTAATATTAATATTATTCGATTAATGAAACGATCAGCGAGAAACCCAGCCAATTTACAAGCCCGTACTATCGCTCGATCCTATTTCTCCCTTTCTCGTCTTCGTGCAATCGCACGGTCACGTAAACTGCACTTACGGGAGAAGTGCTCTTAGCCGGCGCAGTTAAGATAGATTATTCTACTGAAATTCCGGCGCAAATCTCGGCGCACTTCTTTACGTACATCCACTACTGAAATTCCAGCAGATTTCGTCCCTATTTTTGTATTTAAGGGAACTATTATTCATAATTATTGCAACAATGTCAGAAACTTTTTTCTCTGCATTAAAAAAAAAAAATTAATACTGACAGAGCGAGAGGACGAGTAATGAAGAGAGATGTTTTCAAATAAAATAAAATAACTTTCTATTTAATTAGAGTATATTTTGGTAGGTTTGCTATTACATTTTTTCACACATTTTCGTAAATATGTTTTTCATGAACTTATAATTGGGTTAACGATATGTGCACTTTTTATATACGTTTTATTTCAATATGATGTACACACACAAACATACATATATTCGAGCACTTTCTAATTTCTCAATTCGCAAACATTCATTCGGCAAGTAAAACGCGTCGACAAACATTTGCATCGAAATAACGCGGCACATTCACGCGCTATTTCACACCGCATTCCCCGCTGATCCTCCGGCCATGTTACCATCCATTTAAAAACCAAAAACGTATCATCAAATGGTCGACTGCCGTACTAAATTCGGTAAAAACTGCTCGCTCTGAATTATATAGCTGCAATTAATTAATCAGGTGAATGTGCAGATGTATTCACTTTCGCGTAATTAAAATTTAACGTGGAATGTCATATAAAATCGGGGGGAATTTACATGATAAAGAATTGAAATCCGTATTTCCGTGTGCGAAAAAAAGAAACTCCTGCGCTTCGTTCGAGGACCGGCGCGGGCGGTATAGGTACCCGCTGAAAAGTTAATTGCGCTTATTGCGACTCCGTTGTTCATTTCCCTTTTTTTCCCTCCCCGACTTCTTTTTACCTTCTTCAACGCCTATGCAATTTTCGTAGCTTTTCCGCCTGAAACGCAACGCACGATGTTTCGGGGTCGCGAGGGCAAAAGAGCCCGCTGCTTCGTCGTGCCGCAAGTTTCTCCGGCGAATGAATAGAGCAAAGGGGGAGAGAGAGGGAGAGAAAAAAGAGGGCGAGTTATCCCCGTGGAAAAATTTCGTCGACTCGCGGAAACTCCGAGGTATACCCTATACCGCGCAGCGGGAGGAATGAACATCCTTTCGCCTCTTCGCGTTCGCCTCTTTTTTTTTTTTTTCTTTTCCTCGCAGCATTTCCGCCTCGGGTTCGTTACGGCGCGGCGCGCCGCGCCGCGAAGGAGAGTCTTCGCGCGCGTCTTCTATACGGGCATTTACATAGGAGTCCTCACTTTCTCTCCTCCTTTCTGTCGCCGTATTAAAGCACTTCAAGGCACAAGGCGGGAAGTGAGTTTCTCGGTGCGGGCGCACCTCCGGCAATTGCGCCCGCTTTACGAAAAATCGGCTGACGACGTTTACATTAGCGCGCAAAAGTATATATTATAGTTGTGCATATCTTTTTTTCTTTATATTCCTCGCTGCGGCGACTCATAATCTTGTTACGAGATAACGGAGATTATGTAGATAATGCCTTTTCTTTTTTAAGTCGACCTTTTGTCGAAGTTTTCTCCCTTTTGCAGCCTGGTTAATCGCGTTCTTTTATTAATATTCGCTGTTACAGCGCGAAAGGCAAGGTTGACGAATATAATACCTATACGGGTTATCGCAGTTATACAATATATTTATATCGTGCAGCAGCGAGTGTCGCGAAACTTTTCCTTTGATGTCATTAGCACGGTTACCGGGGCTCTATCTGTTTGAGCCGTGTCCGCGCTAACGAGGCAACTTTCCGGAGCAAACTAACGCTCGGTTAATAAAACTCGATACTCTTTCAATTACACGTACAATTAACGAGCTCCGAGTTTTTTTAAAAGCCAAACAATTGACGCCCATTAACTATATACCGGTTCAATTATCATCCGATTGATCGCGCGCGCCCCGCGTGTACCTTTAAGAAATTAGTACCAACTTCGCCGCGCTTGTTATCAAATAATTAGCGACCCGGCTGCGCCGAGTCGTCGTCGACGCTTTTTTTTACTGTCGTCGCGATGGCGCGGTGGCCGATTTAATCGATCGTAAGCGGGTTCAATCGATGCTGCAAAAAGGGGTTTCCGCGTCTCGGACCGGGGGAGGGGAGGAGGGGGGGGGGAGAACGCCTCGAGGACACGGAGGTGCAGTGAAGGACGAAGAAATTTCCGTGTTTTAAGGTAGAAAAGCGAAAAGGGCGGGGCCGTTTGCGGTAGAAATGGTTGAAGGAGCGGTTTGCGCACAGGGGGAAAAGATCGAAGCGGCGGAGATGCAAAGGGCACTATACGTACTATAAATCGAAAAAAAAGAACCCTTGTGCCCGAAGGTGGACGCATACCATGTCTAATGGATTCGCTCATTATGACAATTGCACACGTCGGAGCTATAAAGCTAAGCAAAGAAGGAGACGGTGGAAAATCAAGCTCCCCTCCTCCCCCCTCCTCCCCGATCTTTCCGTTTTCTTTTAGTAGAAAGAGAAATGTGACGGCGAAACGTACCTTATAATACACTGCACGCAGATGGTGCAGAGATACGACAACAGAAATCGCCGTGCGCTGCAGCAACACGGCAGAACCCTTTGTGGTTGGAAATCCCCTTGTTTAACGGTAGAAAATAAAAATGTTATCTATACCATTAAACAAACCTCATGTGCCGCCGTGATATTAAAGTGATATTAATGCCTTTTTCATATTCGCGTGCAGCTGGCAGTAATGAATACCGAGTCTATTATGCGTTTATGGAAATCATGTGTTTGCATACGTTATGAAAGTGGAATAATTGGACGCGTAACGGTTTGTCAATCACCGTTTGAATATTACAACAATCGGCGCGGACGCATTGATTTGCCTATTCGAAAACAGCTTTGAACCTCAATATTTTCGCATAATGTGGATATTAATTAATAACGGATATCCCCCGACTTATGATGAATTGTATAAATCGCCAATATCAAATACCGAGAGGTCGCGTTTAATTCATCATTATAATGTTTATACGATACATGTATATTATATATGAAATGTTTATTAAAAGAGCCTCTAAAAAGTCCATTACGCATCAGGCATTTGATGCTTTTAAGAATTTGCATTATAAAATTTACGTTACAAACCAACCAGCGTTCCTTCTTTACTTATTGTTATATTTATTATGTATATAAGCACTGATTCAATTTACATCATGTCGCATATGTGATAATTATCAACGACATGGAAATGCAAGTTATTTACATGCTGCAAACTCGTAGCCCGTGACTAAATTGATATTGCATTTGGTATTGTCGTATATTGAATAATAATCTATAACACATGGGCAATATTTCGGCCTAGTTTAGTTTGCAATATTTCGCGAGCCGAGTCTCGAAAATATTAATTGAGAATCATGCGAGCCGGATGCGGGATATCTCGTTAGCCCGTTCTAATTGGCCTGCGCGCGTGTTGTCGTTGACGCGTCCGCCCATTTTCCACTTTTCGAATTTTTCACGAAGCCGCCAGACGTATCAATTATTTTCGCTCTTTTGGCAAATCGTTCGCGCTCGGCGAAGCCCGCGCGCGCCCGTCGGACAGCCGGAAATTGAGGTGGACCGTCGCTTTAACTGATGGCGTTCAACGATTACCTGCGCCTTAATGAGCTTACAGAAAACATTTCATCGGCAGCACAGCAAATATATGCTCTGTTAATATATGAGAAAATTAATATTAAAAATTAGTTTTAAAATTATTCATTTGACATTTCCGATAATTGGATGAAAAATCTCTCCCATATATATTTTTTTAATTATCGAAGAGGTAGTGATGCACTGAGAAAAAAAATTTGTTGAAAAACGCAAAATTTGTTTCATCTTACCAAAATATTTAATCCGATACGTTCAACTAAACGTTACTACGACACAAAATAATTTGTTACTATTATAAACAAAATACTATTTTTTAACTAAACTATTTTGTTTCAACAAGAATTTATCGTCTTTAACTCAACCATTCGGTTAAAAATACACTGCACTATTTATTATCCCCATCAGCATCGTTTAGTCAGTTTGATACTTGCGGAATTTGAACAAATACCTATATTATTTGGATAATTAAATAGCATGCAAACACAAATAAATACTACTAATATTTTGAACAAAATAATTTAATTGAGTTGGTTTAGTTAATTCTTGATTAAAAAATTTTGATGGTTGACATGAATGAACTGTATCTTTTTTTGAGCAATTATTATAGAATTGTTGAATCAAGCAACAATACAAATTTAGTTCGTACAATCAATTTTTTTTCTCAGTGTATGAATTATTAATTAATTATTTTTTTAGGAAAGAAATTACACGTGTATATGTATATTATGCATTACAGAAATTTTGATAGAGAAGAGAGAGAAGCAGGAGGTTTCAAGTTACTAATGTACACTTCTTCTCGGTTGCAGAATGCGACTCGGTGTACGAAGATACGCATTGCCACGACGGATGCGTTTTAGCGAGTCCCGGATATCCTGGGCTGTATCCGCCAAACATCCGCTGCCGGTACCTGATCACGTCCGGTCCGCGGATCTCCATCGCCATCAACTTCACGGCGGTGCTTCTTCCCGACAAGTAAGTGCTCGACCGTACTCCGACAATACTTCCAAATCCCACGCGCCGGAACGTCCTCTCTGTCAAGCTCATCAATAAGTCTCCTGTGTTCAAGGAGCATCCTGCAGAGGTATCACCCATGCGGAAGCGCGGGAGCAAAACACATGCACACTTTTATTTTATTTTATTTCACCAACGTCGCGCTTAATTACTATAGGTCATTATACGTGGCGCAGTAAAAAAGCGCTGTACACACGTGATGTTTAATTACGCGCATGCGAGGAAACGGATACCGTACGGGGAAAATGGACCGAGAAAATCCGCTAAGCAAGCACTCGAAGGGAAGCGACGATTTTCTTTCGTATTATACGCGCGGGTATATATGGCGCTCATTTCGAGATTTCTTTCGCATTATCTGCAGCGCATGTCCGCTTCTTTCGCGACCCACGCTCCGCGGAAAAACTACTCGAGTTTCACAGGACACAGGGGGTTGTGCAGGCTGTTGCACGACAAATTAAAAACCCCGGGCGAGCCGAGGGAGGAGCTGTCGCGTGGTTCTTTGGCGGCTCACTTTCCCGCCGGCGCGCCGAGACGTTTCGTAATAGCAGCGATGTTAGGGGACGCGTGAAGAAAATGTGGACGATGCGGGATACAATTCTCGGATAAACGAATAAAAAGCGTAAGAAGAGGAGTAAAACTTACGGGTCGATCAATTCTAATCGGTCAAACAATCTCTCGATTTAAAAGCCATTCATTGGCGGTTGTCACTCTAATTGAAAATATCTGCAGCTTCCGTTTTTTTTTGTTAAAGAAAGATAGAGGAATTTAAATTTAAAATATACCAATTAATTTTATTTTTAATAAAATACTATTATTAAAATTTTATTCAAACATCGCAGAATCGGAGAAGTTAATTCTAGAGAATTAATACAAAATTGATATTTAATAGAGAAATTATAATAATATTTTAAAAAATTAATACAATACAAAAATTATATATAATATACATTTATTAATAATATTACATTGCTAATTACCAGATGCGTGTAAAATAATCGATATTGTTATAAATGAAATGAGATATTCTATCCTCTGTATTACGTATACCGATGTGTCTTTGTGTTGACACTTCAAAGTCCCGTCTAGTGTTTCTTCTTTCATTTACCATCATTACCAGTTCGGATTAGCACGTTTCCGAGCCAGAAATGAAAGAGCAGCCGGAGAAAGGAAAGGGAAAAAAAGAGAAATCTCCAACCCCTTTGCTATCTTTAGCCCGGCTATTTTTAATAAAACCCGCTCTTAAACGTAGCTCAGCTTGCATAACAAGCGCGGAACTCTCTTTACGCCGCGTTAACCTCGCATGCATATAAATCATTTTCCACTTTACCGAAGAATCCGCAGCCGTTTTTCGAGCGAATCACACACCGTTTTGCGTTTCGCCAACAAAAATCAAGTAATCTCGATTCAATCTTGCTTTAAAAGGGTTACGCTCCTTTATTAATTCTTTGATGATAGCCTGATAAACTTTCTAAAAATTCAAACGGCAATGAATTTCGATTAGCTTGAATTAAATACTGTCGAAAGATGGTTTTAAAGTTTCCCTGAAAATTGCTCGCGAGAAGAAAAAGAATTTATTCAGAGGTATATATTGGAGAAATATAAAAAAGTAATTGCTGCGAACTTTTAAAAAAAAGTTCTTCTTAAGAGAGCGCATCCAAAGAGTTAAAGAGAAATTAATTACAGATTAAATATGCATTACAGTGTAACATTATCAAATTACCATCGAACGCAGCGACTTTGTTCTCAGGTCTCAGCTAGCTCGTTGAAACCCGAATGTAACAATTAAATACAAGCAAAGTCATAGGTATAGGAGACTCATTGACTATCCGCACTCAACAGTCGTTCCAATTGATTATTTCCTGAGAGATTCACGTAAACGTTCGTGGAAACCTTGCGGTGACGATTAACGTGCATCTTAACGACGACGCTGCGACAAATAAGAGGAACTTAACCAGTTCCCGGTGCGGTGCTCGATTCTGTAGCGCGCATTTACGCGCGCGTGTATATATACACATATATATATATGTGTGTGTAAGTACATACACGTGAGCGCGCCTCGCGCGAAATCTGGTCTGCGCAGAAACGTCGCGAGTCAATATGCATTCGCTTTGCACTTTGCCGAGGGGTAAGAACCCATTTGTGCGTGTGTCCTCGAACGGAGCCGCGCGCGTACAACGGAAGGGGCACGAGCGCGCGCGTATCCCGTGCGCTTGATAATGCATCTCGCGTCTCGTTTCGTCGGCTGTGTCAACAACTGCCTCTCGCGTTCTTCCACCGCGTTCATCTCCCTCCTGAAACGCAATCCCTCTGAGCAATAAGAATACACCCACGCACGGAGCATACCTGCTATTGTGCGTCTCGAATTATTTACTCTACGACGTCAAGCGTGATTCCGTTAAACATCGTAGGTAATTCCTTTGGATTGGATTCACGCTTTGTCAGCGACGACAGCTAACAAATTCGGTTTTGTTAAACCTTGATCGCTTGTATAGGTTCGTATATACATCTCCGTTGCTTTGGTGAGCAAAGAATATTGGTGCCCCAATAGTTTGTATTCATTACAGAAGTTTGTCGCGAAATTAGAACAATAGGTAATTGAGCGCTTTATATGTGGCTTGTATATTGTAGACGTGTTCTGAATCCCCGCGATTCTTACGCGGAATCATCGAATGTATTTAGGTATGTGCCCCGTGTACAAAGGCCGCGACAGCAATCTTCCCCTAATTCCTTTTTGGATTGGATTCACACTTTGTCACTTTGACGACAGAGTTAACAAGTTTGTCTTGTTAAATCTTGATAGTTTATATATGTTACCGCCAAAACTCATAATCCGTTAAAACCCGAATTCACTAGTTAAAATTGGAATGTTTTACTAGACGTAACATCGAAAACCTATGTGAACAGTACAATTATACACCTCGTTTCGCCCTATAAACAGGGGAAGGAGGGAAGGTTGAATCTCGCTATACGTGGAAAATTGAAAACCCATGCAAAACAATACTATTATAGACTTTGTTTCGACTAAATTTAAAACTAGTTTTAACTATAGTGAAATCGGGTTTTAACAATTATGGGTTTTTTAACGGTGACATGTACATTTCGTAAATGATGAGCAAAGAATATTGATGTTCCCAATAGTTATATTCGTTATAGAAGTTTGTCTCTCGCGGCATTAGATCAATATAGGTAATTGAACTTTATACGTGACTTATAGGCATAGTTCCGTTTGTAATAAGCGGTTTCCGGCGTAATTGGATTTGGTTAGGGAAATTTTTCCAAAAGATGTGAAAAAGCGACGAAAGGGGAGAGAGAGAGAGAGAGCTGCGTACTGCAGCAGTTGCATTTACTTTTTCGCGGCGTGGCTGCAGTTGTTCTCCAAAGCTAGGCTGGCGCTTGGCTTTTACGCCGTGGTGGCCGCTGGAAAGCCATTTCACACGGAGTCTCGCAGTCGCGAGTACACCGAACATTTCCGTTCTCTAAAGACGGTCGTATTTTAGATCTCTCCGCCACTGGCATTCTCGCCCGCTTTATTTGCGAACGCTACGGCGGGCAGTAATATTGAAATAGATGGCCGGATGATCGTGCAGAGGCACCTAGATTTCTTGGATGCCAATTTCATTCTCAACGCCCGAATGCTTTTACGAGCGGGCTTCTACTCAGAGGGAGAGAGAAAATGTATCGTAAAAATGCGTGTTAAAAGGTGTAATTTCTTCGAACTATGTTCTTGACGTAATATTGAATATATTTTTTACGGGTAATAGAGATTTTACAAATTGTTCACAAAATCCGTACGCGCGCGAAAAAATTGATGTGCAAATAAGAAAAAAAAAGAATTTTGGGACAGCGCCGTAGGGTAGCTTATTTCGTTCCCTTCAAAACATTTTAATAGCGATCCGCACGTTCGTGTATAATCACGCAGCGGGAAAGTTTGTTGCGTTCCCGCGAAAAATATATATCACTTTTTGTGGCGACTGCATTTGCTTTTGCGGCAATAATAAACCGTATTTTACAATCATATTTTTCAACAAGCTGCGGTATATCCATTTCAGAAAACAAACCCTCGCAATTTATGGACCACCGACTGCCAATTACGAATTTGGTGCATCATTTCTTTCGATACTTGATACAGTTCGTGAGGTACGTCATGATCTTATGTCGTAGACGATTGTAAAAGGAAAGCTGTGTTGCGCTTGGATTACATTTTCTCGTCGGTGGTTGACTGCTTCGTTCTACTTGCAACTTCTTCAAGAATATCGTGTTTTTACGATTGATGTCAACCGTTAAATCAACAATTTGATTCGAATTTTATTCTGACTTTTAAATACTCGACATAATTAGAACAAATATTTTGGTCGCGTTTGGAAAATTACGCGCGTTATACAATTTTCAGCGATTTAACTTTTATATCCGCTATATAACATATCTTTATTAATTTTATAATTAAAAATACAATAAACGAGCGAAAAATATATGAATAAAATGTAATAATCAACTTTATTGTGAAATTGGTATGCTGAGGTATAACAAAAATGCAGCTGGAAAAAACTGAAAGTTTGGAACTGGATTATTCATGAGGCGAGTACTTTTTCAGCAAAGTGATAAGCCGAATAATTTTTCGTTATTATATCGACTTTTTTGTCTTTTTTTCGATATCCTACAGCTCGTCCGCTGTTACGGAGAAAATATATCGGCTGATGAAAAGAGTCGCGCGTCACGCAGCTTACACGATACCATTATGGCCGTCGTATATTCTTTGTGGCGTGCGTTCTGTGCAAACACGGTACAGTAGTTTAATTACCGGGCCGCTTTCCCAGGTATTTTCTCTGGATTTTACATGCACGCAAAATTACATGGGCGCCGTCACGAGAGAGGCTTATTCGCGGGTTGGCCGAGAGAGAAAGAGCGGAAGATCCGCCCGGCGCGGTATTCGCGTCCAAAAAAAATATATGTATATATACACC